ATATATTTGTAAATGCATTTTAAAAACAAGGTTTAATTCAAGTAAACTTGCTTTTCTTTATTGTAGGACTTCTTAGAGACTTGAATACTACGCCCTTTTAAATCTCCAAGAAAGGAATATAGTATATAATATAGTATTCAAGATTTTAAAACTTTTTTTTTTTACAATGGTACTCCACTTTCCACAATCATCTATCTCTTAGGACTAGTGTTAAAAATACTAGAGTAGTGATCCTCAGTCTGGTTTGACATTAGATTACCCTGGGGAGCTTTAAAAAGTACTGATGGCTATGTCCCACTCTGAGAGATTCTGATTATATGAGCTGGAGACCAAGATTTAGCCTGTTTTGAAAGCTCCTCATCTGACTAATGTGCAGCCAGGGCTCAGAGCCCTGCACTAGAGGTCTGCCATTACTCCTGTACTGGTGTATCCTGTACTGATGCTAGTTTGTATCCCAATGCCATCATTCTCTTGACTTCTTAAGATAAGGCTGCCTTTCCAGAAGAAAATGAGTAATACTAACATCAACTATCCCGGGAAGAGGCAGATCTAGTCTGGCGACGTGTAGAAGGCATGAAGACAGGGCAAGGGCATTTCCCTCATACTGTGGAGTCTGGTCAGATCAGGATGAATCCAGCTACACTATAGGACATGCCAGACCAGCCTGTAGGATGGGCCTGATAGCAACCCTTAAAGAACCCTAGCTAGGCCTAGAAGGTTGAGAATTAAAGCTATCCTTTGCCTTTTACTCTTCTGTTATCCCTGAGCCCCCAACATTTTATTTTGAACTTAACTATACACTCTTGATGAGCTCTGCAGATGGTCAAGGGGAATGTCCCGTAAAGCCAGTGAGTGTGTTGGTAGTAGAAGTGACTGGGAATATTCCAAGTGCAAATAACACAGTGACAAAAGCTGTGGTTTATGAGAATGAGTTACTCTTAATGGGAAAATTCTGCAACCACTGTCCAGTTTAATGGCCTTGAGGATCATTTTTATTAAAGAAGCCAGAGAGATTTCCTACAAGAATAAAATACAAAGAAATAAAGGTACTAAACACTGTTTTTATTTTGAGTACTTCTGAGGGAACCAGGCACAGTATAAGGCCTAATTTATTTTTAATCTGTAGGCTTTGGGGCAGGGAAGCTTCAGGTTTCATTAAGAAAGCCCCTTTCTTTCTTAGAGCTTAAAAGTTGACATTAAATTTGTTACGTCAGAAGTTGTTAAATAAATGCTCTTAATTCTGGTTCCATATAAAGTATCCTTTTCTTAAAATAGTATGACTTTAAGTCAGTACTTCCATTTCTTCTACTATGAAACAGTGGATCTCAGTATTATAACCAGTCCTACAATTTAATTTTCAAATTATTTGCTTTTGAGAACCCTCTATGAATTAAACCCAGAGATACATATCTTTATCTCAACAGAATATTGAAAGTAAGCATCTATACTTTTGACAAATATTTTACCTTGTATCTCCTAACTTTTATTTACACTAAATTTACTCAATTGTTGGGGGGTATATAAAAAAAAAAAACAAAAAAAAAAACAAGCAAAATGGTCATGGCTATTTACCTTAATATTGAAACAAATTATTTTATACATTGTTAAAAGTTAACAATAAGTGTTTTAATTTCATTTATTAAATGAAATTAGATAAAGCTAAATCTTATCTCTATGTGATATTCTTGAGCCAGAATCACCTCTGCTCAGGATGCTCCTAAATTGCCTGACCCACAAATTATAAATATATATACATATATGTATTGATGTATAGTTTTGAGAGCAGAAAACTGAACTGAGAAGACAGTGAATTGGCTCATAAATCACTGACAAGTTGATATAATTAACTAAAATTCAGGACACTATCCTTTTTACAAATATACTTACTTGAGAAATGTAATTACTTTAAAAAATAGACCAACAATCTTAATATCTGAACCATTATTTTCCTGAGTTTTAACATAAAATAAAACCTTTATAGTCCTGCTAGACTATAAAGATCCCCAAGTTCAAGGATCTTGTTTAACTTGTCCACCACTAAATTTCCAGTGTCAAGGGCTGCAACTTACACTGGAATGTACATGTGTCACACTCACTCCTGTACACCCAAGTTAACATTTGCTTAACTATGATAATGAGTGACAATGAAAGCTCCAGTATACCAAATCACTGAGTAAAAAAAATGGATTATAAAAACAAATTTATAGTGTAATCTAATTTAATAAGATTGATGTATAAATGGAGATGAGAAATGTCTGTCAAAATGACACTGAATTTGGGTGATTTTTCCTTTCGTTATATTCTTCCATATTGAGTTTTTTACATAGTTTACTATTAATTATATAAAGTATTAAGATATAGGATTAATATAATCAGAAAAAAAATCTATTTTCATTTTGGGAAAAAGAAAGTAAACCTATTCTAATAAATGTTAGAAAATGTCCAAAGGAATTGGTACTACTTCTTTCAATCGATATTTTTCATGCTTTAAAATTACTTCAAAATTTTCTGATAATTCATTTCGAGAGGAAATTAGTGAATGGACTGCTACTTAAGTTTTTAAAAATTCCAGGTAAATTTAAATCTTACATAAATTTTAATACTTACTCTAAGTCCACCTTCTGGTGGGGGCCCAGATGTAGCAATTTGTTTTTCTATTTTTTCCTTTTTCTTTCTCTTTTCTTCCACAGACTGAACATTCAAAATTCCCCGAGATGCTGCCTTTAAGAAATATGATTAGGGGTATTAAAAAAACAATAAAATCAGTACCTAAAAACTGAGGTGTGTTTTTTTGTTTTTGGTTTTCAGGTTTTTCTGTGGGGGTGAAGACTGGTCTACTTTTGATAACAAAGAATTAAACTACTTCTACAACAGCTTTATATAAAACATAGTATCATTTTCTCATTGGGTATTTTGTAACTATACAAATTTCCTCCTAAACTTACTTCCTGTCAGTGTTTCATAAGGCATGGTCATTTTATCCCAAGGAATAATGTTATTCAAAGGGCATCTCACATTATAGAAGACATCTGCATAGTCATTTTCATACATTAAATGATATAAATGTATTAACATAATTTATAAAAACAGAGATTATTTTGAAAAAAGACTATCTTTAAATATAAATTTACAGGATAACCAGGTATCATTTTTGCTTACTTAGATAATTGTTTGTACTTTATTCTTGATATCTACTAGTCGTAGATATAAAGTATTAAGATATAGGATTAATATCATCAGAAAAAATCTATTTTCATTTTGGGAAAAAGATATCTACTAGTCATAGATATCAAGAATAAAGTACAAACTTAATTATCTAAGGAAGCAGTATTACTTTTACTCTCACCTCCTTCTGTCTTCTCTCTGCAGCCTCTGCAAGCTTTCTTCTTTTCTCTTCCTAAAGAAAATATGTAAAAAATGTTTTAAAATAAAACCACACATTATCATGGAAAACTTACACACTTGTATCTTACATGTAATAAAACAGTTTACAAAAATATTTAGTACTGGGCCAATAAGTTCCACAAAGACTGCCAGTATTAACAACATTTATAAAATAATCAACTTTCTGAATTTCATTTCTTCAAACAATATACTTTCAAATAAATACATGCCGATAATTATATAGATCTATGTCATATATTATACATACACAAGTTGACCTATAAAATAATCTATTTTTTTAAAAAAGGGTGGCTTACAAGCAAAAAAGGAGATAATAAAACAAGTGACATTTAATACTACAAGGAGGAAAAAACATGGTTTTGTACCGCCAGTTATAAAGGAGTTCGAAGTAGGTTGGTGTTTTTAGGAGAGGTTCATAAATGAAGTGGGCGAATCTCACTGTGTAGGATAGGAAGGACTGTAAAAAATTTATGAGAGGTGCTGTTCCATGTTGGGATACAGTGAATATTATTTTTCTATGTTATGTATTATAAAAATTTTAAATATGTAGAACAGTAAGTAGCATTCTCATGAGAGCTGTTGTTAATAATTCCCTTGTTTTCCATACCATAATTCATTCATTCATTTATTCATTGCACAAAATACAGTATGTGCAGAGCACATATCATGCCTCAGGAACTTTTTTGGAGGATACAGCGGTGAAACAACAGATAAATGTTTTCACCCAAATGTAACTTAAATTCCAGTGAGGGCAAACGGTCAAATACAATCAAGTAAATACGGGCCTGTCAGGTGGGTGGTATAGTGGGAGATCTATTTTACTTAGGGCGGTGGAGAAAAACCTCAAAGACAAAGTAACATTCAAGTAGTGAGCCATGTGGTTATCTGTGAGGATGGGGGTAGGGCTTAACAAATGCTGAGAGATTGAGGTTTTGTCAACAGCCAGATAAACAAAGTGAACATTTAAAAGCAACAGTAGCGGGACAGACAGGTGAACTTTCTGGTACTAATTTCCAGGTCATTTTTAGTACCTATAATCATATGGCCGAAGAGTTAATGTACTTCCCCTAAACAACTCATTTCTTTCAGCGAATTTTTAGCTAGGTAGAGTAGAGGAATTTAGGTTTTCTGTTATCAACTCCCTGTAAGGACTAGTAATGCAACGAGACTGTTAAAAACTGAAAACTACAAAAAGCATAAATGTATTGTACTAGTTAAATTTGAATTTCAGTTAAACAATGAATAATTTTTAGTGTATGTCCCAATACTGCATGGGACAAATCTATTTTTTAAAGAAGTATACCTTGTCTATCTGAATATTCAAATTTAACTAGTCCTGTATTTTTATTTGCTAAATATGGCAGCTTTCAATTGTACGCTCTGGACTACATAAAATATTCTTTTTAAAGAAAAGGAAGAACTTAAAAGATAAACACTGAAGGGATACAATATCCAATAAAACTCAGGAACATAAGGGACTTTATTGAGCACCTTCTTTGAACAGCTGGTACAGACACAGGAAAATACACATTTCCTAGAACATCAACACTTCAGCTCACGCAGAAAGAGGAATTTCTTTTTGCACCCTAACTCCATCTACCGCATCGCCAAGAATGGCCCCTACACCGCACCGTCGGCGTACGCCTGCGTCCTACGAACTTCCAATTTTGCCAAAGTCTGCGAAAAGGACGGAGACCCCCGAGCCGCCTTTGGACAATTCCGAGTAACCAAAGCGAGGAGATCGACACCGAGGCGGCGACCCAGGTCCGGCTGGCAGGACCTCAACGTCCCTCGGAGCGCGACCACACGTCTTCGCCACCACGGTCCCCCACGGCGGGCTCTGGGGCCCGCGCCACCGCGCCCAACCGCCCGCCCAGGTGTCAGCAGCTCGGGGCCTCCCGCAGCCTCTCCCGGGAACAGGTGCGCGCGGCGCGGGCCGGCGGACGCGGAGACGCGGGAGCGCGGCCGTACTCACCACGTCCGGCGAGGGAGGCGCGGACTCCCCGGGACAGGGGAAACACAGCCCCATCGGGAGGCGGGTGAGTGCCAACTGCGCGGTCAGCCCCACGTCCCCAGTGGCCGCGCTCGCCGGGTCCCCAGCCGGGCGGGCGGCCCCGCGGCTCGGCTCCGCCCCCTGCTGCAACGCTCCCTTCTCCTCGCGGCCCCGCCCCACCCCTGCAGCCGCCTCCGCCCTCCCGACGCGGCTCCCCACCCCCACCTTCATAGGCCCCGCCCCCGCGAGTGCCAGGCGGGCTTGGGACGAGGCCTCGGTGCCAGGGAACGCCTGCTGTGGGCAGCACGCAGAGGTGAGATGGAAAAACTTGATTCGTGGCTCACCCCGTGCCTGGCCATTTACAAACAGGTGACGGGGCTCTGGATAGTTTATTTTACTTCTGTTGTGAGATGGATCTGTAACCTCCAAGAAATTAAAATTCAGTGGAATTAAACTTTCCAAAATGGCAAATTGACGTCAGTACCATTTTCTGCCTTCTGGTGACTCGTATTATTTCAGTTCAGAGAGCAGAGTATGAAGTCCATCGCTATGTTTTAAAGAAGCCAGCCTCATAAATGTGGCTTTAGTTGAGATGCCAATTGGTTTATGGTGTTTTGGATTCACTTATCCCTTTAAGGGTAATAATAGAAGTTGATTTATTCAGAACTACTTTAATTGAATGCTTCTCAAATTTTGATAGGCATAAAAATTCACCTGGGCATCTAGTTAAAATGTGGTTTATGATTTAATAAGTTTAAGGTGAAACCTGAGATTCATTTCTAGTAAACTCCCTGATAATGCTGAAGTTACTGATCTTTCCACATGATGCTTTTGTTTGATTTTTTTTCTTGCATTATATTAGTTTTACTTGTTAGAACATCTTCAAACATCTCAGAGGGTAGGATGTAAAGTGACAGTTCCTCAGAAATCGTTGTTATATGGTTTCAGGACTTAGGTTTAAATCTTTAATCCATTTTAAGTTAATTTTTGTGAGCTGTGTGAGATTGGGGTCTAATGTTCTTCTGCATGTTGTCACCCACTTTTCCCAACACCATTTACTGAAAAGACTAGCCTATCCCCATTGAGTATTCTTGGCTCCCTTATCAAAAAACAGTGGGCTATATATTCAAGAGTTTATTTCTGAGCTCTTGAGTCTGTTCCATTGATCTGTGTCTATTTTTATGCCAGTACTAGACCTTTTGATTACAATTGGTAGTATAGTTTAAGATCAGGAAGTGTGGTGCCTCCAGCTTTATTCTTCTTTCTCAAGATTGCTTTGGCTATTTGAGGTTTTTTGTGGTTTCATACAAATTTTAGGATTGTTTGTTCTATTTCTGTGAAAAATGCCATTGGAATTTTGATAGGAATTGCATCGAATTTGTAGATTTCTTTGGATACTATGGGCATTTTAACAATATTAATACTTCTGATCCATGAACACAAGATTTCTTTTTTCATTTATTTTTTTCCTAAGAAAACACTAATTTGCTTTTGTGTCTATAGATTGACGATTTTCTTAAGTTCCAAATAAGTATGTACTTTTTTGGTCTGGCTTTTCTTCAACATAAAGTTTTTAAATTCATTAATGTGTTTCTTCAATAATATTCCATTTTTTATAGAGGTACTGCATTTTAAAAATGAAGTTACCTATCCGTGGACATATTGGCTGTTTGCATTTTGAGGCTATTATGAACAAAGAAAGCTCTGTAAATATTTGTGTACAAGTCTTTGTGTGACCATGTTTATTTCTCTTTAGTGAACATATAAGAGTAGAATAACTGAGTCATATTTCATATATATGAAAAATTGTTAAGAATTTTTTTAAGGTAAATTGCTTATATCATTTCATGCACATCAGTGATGTAAGAAAGTACCGGTTATTTCTCATCCTAGCCAATGGTTGGTATGTTGTCACTTTAATTTTACCCATTCAAATGGATGTATAATGGTATTAATTTGTATTTTCCATCTTTTCATGTAGTCTCTGGTTTGTTTATGTTTAGAAATGTTAGTTCAAATCTTTTGTCCAAAATATGACTTTTTGTTTTAACTTCTAATTTGTTAAATATTTTGTAGTGAAAGGACATATTTTGTATCATTTCCATCCAGTGAATCCACTGAGATTTATGTTATGCCCAGGAGATGGTCTATTTTCACATTCCAGTGTGCACTTGAAAGAATATGTATTCTGTTCATGTTGGGTGGAGTATTTTGTAAATATCAGTGCTGTCTCCTTTATCTTTACTGATTTTCTAATCGTTGCATCAGTTTTCAAGAGGAATGTTTATAATTCAGTTATAATTGTGAATTTGTCTATTCTTTGAATTCTTCCAGTTTTTGCTTACTGTCTTTTGATGCTTTGTTACTGGATGCATATGTTTATGATTGTCTTTGTGATGAACTGAAGCTTTTATCGTTATATTCATCTACATAATTGATAATATGACTTATTCTGAAGACCAATTTGTGTTAATAGTCATTCTAGCTTTAAGATTTGTATTTTCATGGTACATATTGCTGCATCATTTTATTTTTAAACTTATCAATTTTTATATACAAAGTATGTTTCTGGTAGACAGTTTTTAGTTGGTTTTGCTTTTTCAAAAAATCCACTTTGACAATCTTTGCCTGTTTGGAGAAAATTTTTAATTGGTCTTGTGTGTTTCTGTATGTTTTCTGAGCAAAGGTTTTAATTTTTCTCTAGACTGTCTTTACAAAGATGTATAGTACGCAAACTTGGAAGATATAGAGTCTCCTCTAGAGCAGATTTGTTTACTGTCCAGTATAGTGGAGATAATGCCATCCTCCAGAGTAAAAGTTGAGCAGATTTGCTCAGCAGCCCCTTCTGTAAGACTGGGGCTTCCTCAGTTGTACCAGAAACCCATAGTGTGCACAGTATCCCGCGGGCACACTTCTGCATCACACGGGGCTTGGAGAGTCAAGGGGAAAGAAGCATGCACTTGAGACTGCCTGCTGTGTCAGAAGTAATGCAGTTGTCTCCACCCAGTAGCTTCTTCTCTTCTGCCAGCATCTATGAAACTGTCTAACTTGTATTTTTGTAAGTAGAATAAAATCTCAAATCTTTCTTAGCTCTTGATACTGCCTTTTAATAGGAGTGTTTAAACCATTTAGATTTAATGTAGCTATCGATTAATTTGGGATTAAATCTACATCTTGCCATTTGTTTTATTTTCAAATCCATTCTTTGTTCCTCTTTTCTGTCTTCGTTTGGATGGATTTTCAGCATTCCATTTTATCTCCCGTTAGCTGTACCTCTTTGTTCGTATGTGCACGTGTGTGCACGTGCGTGTGTGCTTTCTGTAGTATTTACAGTATATCTTTAACATATGCAAGTCTACCTTCAAATAATATCTCTTCTCATAAAACATAAGAAATTTTCAATGCTTGTACTTCTATTAACCCTCTTCCAACCTGTTATTGTTGTCATACATTTTACCCCTATGTTATTAAAACCACAATAATTAATTTTGTGTAAAACAGTCAATTAATTTTTAAAGAAATAACAAAAATTTAAATGATTTTATATTTATTTGTTTGAGTATCATTTCCAGAACTTTTCACTGTTTTGTGTCGATCTATCTCATATAATTTTTCTTCTACCTAAAGAACTTTCTCCTGCAAGTCTACTATTGATAAGTATTTTTTGGCACTTCTGAAAAAAAAGTCTTCATTTCGTCTTCAGTTTTGAAGGACATTTTTGTTCCATATAAAACTTTGACAGGTTTTTTTTAAATCAATTTTTTAAAGATTGGTCCTACATAGTTTCTAATGAGGTTTGTGGTTTTCTTATGCTTGTTCCTCAGTATTCAATGTCCCCCACCCACTGCTGTTTTCCTTTCCCTTTTAGTGTTTTTCAGCAGTTTATGAGGCAATTTGATAAATTTTTGTCTTTATATTGTTTGGTGTTGATTAAGCTTTTTGGATCCATGGGATTAGTTTTCATCAAATTTGGAAAAGTTTTGAGAATTCTTTTTTGTTCCCATCCTCCCCTATTCAGACATTCTGAATTATTCATGTTAGACCATGTGATATTGTGTCATAGGTCAGCGAGGTACTAATCATTTTTTTCAACTGTTTTCTCGTCGCCTAAGGTTGGGTTATGTCTATTGCTATATCTGCTGTATCAATGTCATAACTTTTTTACATCAAATATACTGTTAATCAATCAATTTCATAACTTTTTTATATCAAATATACTGTTAATCTCAGCAAACTTTTACCTTTTAGATATATTTCAGTTCTAAAATTTCTATTTAGTTTTTTTTAATATCTTTTATTCCTCTTCTTGTCGTGTTCATGTTTTCCTTTAAATTGCTGTGTGGTTAACATATAATATTTAAATTGATCTTATTACATCATCTGTTTTCATTTCTGTATCTCTTTCTATTGACGGGGTTTCCTCTTATTATGTGGTACATTTTCTGCTTCTTGACATGCATAGTAATTTTGACTGGATACTACACCGTGGACATCGATAGTGGACAGAGAGGAAACAGATCTGTCCTTGCTGAGTTTCACCCTGTGCACATGCAACTTAGCATTCAGCAAAGACTCAATACAAACCACATGCAGAGGTATAAAGAACTGTGTATAGTTCCTTACTCTCTGAAATTCTTCTCCACAATTTCCAGCTAGACTTCCTGCATTCTTATCTCTGTTCCTCAACTCATCCTCAGCTGAAGAAAACAGCTGCGATCTGCTTATAGTGCTCTCCCCTGCATTAAGATCTGGAATGCTCCTCCAGACAGTAAATGAAGTAGTTACAGGGTTTGCCTATTTCTCTTCTAGGGAACATAGCCCTTTTTAAACTTTTGCCTAATTTCTGAAAACCATTGTTTTTAATATTTTGTCCTATTTTCTAGTTGTTTACTGTGGAAGCATAATTCTGGTACTTACATCATGCCCAGAAGCAGAATCCTCTGTACTTCTAATGGTATTTTGGATGCTGCAAATCAGTGAATATAATGCTCATGTTAATCTAATAGTTAGAAATTCTTTAATTGAGAAAATAATCCTGGTAATTCCATTTGCATGTTAAGAATTACATATGTAATTAAGCAAGCATTTTACAGACTTATGATTATCATCCATTTCATACATAAGAGTAAAATTTAATTCAATATTCAA